GCCAATGCATCCGGCATACCTCATGTGCTAAGTCAAATTGCAAAAATAAAAGATTTATACGAGCATACTAGAAAAATTGCAAAGAATGAAGCAAATTATATCAAAGGCAAATTCTATTAATTAAAAATCATTGTCAGCCGGAACTATGTCCGGGGAAAAGAAGTACTTGAAATACTCGGCTCGCAGGTCGGAGATAGAAAGAAAAACAATCAAGTCACTGCTGCTGAGGCTGAGACGTCTTGCCCTATCCGGATGGAGGAGCGTCTTGAGTTTACTGAGCTTGAGATTCGTTAGTCTCACCCGGCGCTCGTTCTTCCGCCTGCTCCTCCTCTTCTTCCTCGCCAATGTCGGCTCATTCCTCAAAGGGAGCCGGCCTCTCCGTTCCGAGGACCTGGGCATCGAACACCTTAGTGGCGTACTTGTACCCCAGTTCAAAGAAAGCCCACTCGGTGTCCGGGTGGATAAGAGACCAGGCCATCTTCATGCGCTCTTCACAGTCGCGCTCATTCTCAGAGATCAGCCGGTCTTGCTCAGCTTTTCCTTGTGGTCCGCCTGAGTCTGGGCTAGCTCATTCTTTAGGCAGTTGACGTCTGACCGCAGCTCAGCGTTCTCCTTATCATCATCCCCCAGCGCCTTGACATCGGCCTGAAGGTTTTTCACTTACAGCTCAAAATTAGTCGCCCACTTGTTGGCCGTTCCAGCAGCAGCCGTGAGCTTCTTGATTTTCTCCTCCTGTTTCATCTCCCGGCTTTTAGTTTGAATTTCATACATTAGGGTGCTGTATTGAGTAACATCAATAAGGTCAGTCGCCCGCCTATTGGCGTCTCTTACCTCCTCCTGCTTCTTCCTCAAGGGGACCTTCATGCCGTGTACCCTTAGCATCACCTACAAAGTCAGTCGGAAAAAGGGTTAGTCTTTGAATTATGCTACAACCGGCAAAAGAGTGAAATTGTACAAAAGCACCCCAACCGACCAATTACCTCAGCGAGCAGCGAGTTGATGCGGTCAATGCTAACCTGGTGCACACCTGGCACCGCCTCCTTTTCGGACCGGGTGAGGGTCCTCAGCATCCTCTTGACATATTGTTGGAGGTCAAGCCAACGAGAAGAGGCATCTGCATCAATAGATTTATTTGTTAAGTATTGAGCATAGGCGGCACCTACATTCTGCCGGCTGCTTGAAGAATCCCCTGATTGGATAGCTTGAGACTTGACTCGCATAGGCCCAAGCGGCCAGGGGGGATCAAAGGTGAGAGCCATACCTTCATTTTCAGGCTGAGGGGTCATCCCACCCCCAACCGCATTAAAACCGGTCGCTACAGCAAGAAGCCGGCTTGAGGGAGTTTTAGGCTCTTTCGTCTCAACCTCAGCCGGCCCTGTGCTTAGGCCAAGGTCTTTTAGGCTCTTGCCTGCTGAGGTGGGCCTCTCGGGCACAGGTGGCCTTCCAAAAGAGGGAGGAGCAACCGGAACCCTTTTAGATTTGGAAGCAGGCTGGGAGGCCTCCTCGCCCGGTCTCTTAAACATCTTTGTTAAAGAACGAGGAACGTTCTTGCTCCCCGTCTGAAAAAGAAAACAAAACAGCCGGTTAATATCAGAATTCACATCAAACTATACAGACGGCAATATCAGCTGGAGCTTACCCCGTCATCCTTGGACACCCCTTTTCTTCTCTAACTGATCTTTTCGGATCTGAGCAGCCGATTTAGCGGGTGTCTTCTCTGGAGGCACCATCTCTAATCCTTTCTCTGCAAAGAAGAAAATCATAGTCAAATGTCATTCAAGAATGATACAGACGACATAAAGTGTCGGTTATCAGTCAACATACGTCTGCTAACATTATGCTAAGGCCACAGAGGGAAAGGAACGCCTCGTCCTTTAGCCAGTCCAGATGAGGGACCCAGTTCTTGGGGACAATGACTTCAGTCCCATCATCCAAAGGCAGGTAGGTCTTCTTGAAGAGCCCCGTCTCCATTATTTATGTCCAAGCCTCTTCCGGTACTCTAAGAAAGGCGCATTTCTTTCCAAGGAGAGCCGGGTGTGTATTGTAGCGACGCAGCCGGTGGTTAAGACGCAGCGATGGTGAAAAAACCAAGTAAAACTTGCTCTTCCAGCTGCTCCATTTTGACGGCTTGTCAAGCGTCATCATGTATTTCGGATGCGTGGTCAATGTATACCACGCATTCTAGCCGCCTGGGGCACGGCTGAGGTAGTGCATATGTGCAAACGCCTCCCAGCTAGACGTTATGTTCTGCATTTCGCAGGCGGCAATATATCCTAATATATTCACCTAAGAATTGGGTGTTAACTGCCAACGCCAAGGTCGTAGCCCCTTAGAATGGCTTTTATTGTATCATGGAGGGGGAACCGGAGGCCGACTTTGAATGCCGCCTCATAGCAGCCGAAATCATCGTCGGCGTGATCAAGGTCGTCATCCCAGACAACGGTTGCCTCTACAGGCGGCACAACAATTTCCGATCCTACCTCAACCGTGCGCTTCTGTAAAAACCCGAGTAAGGTGGCGTTTAGAGTGACCACATCCGATCCCTAGCGGTCATGTGCGCCTCTGTTGGATTATTGATGGAGGGCCATTTATACGCCTCCTCATCCTCTTGGGGGGGCATCCGGCTCTATGGTAGACTCTGAAGAGTCTGATTGTTGGACGGTCTCTTTACCGCTTATACCCTCGGACCTTTCCAATATATCATCACTAGTCATGCTAAGTACACCCGGATGGTCATAATGTACAATGTCACTGAGCCGTCTGACTGGTATTCAGGGTCTACAGCCGTCCGTCTCGTCCGAGCCATTCTGTCCTGCACATGAACAGAGACGGTAGGATTCGTAGAAGAGTAAGGGTGGTCCAAACACCCCCAAACGGCATCCCCAGTCCGGTTGAAAAGCCCAGACGTTTCTCTGAAATCTTGCTTGATGATACCCCATACTGTAGACCAGTTGTGGGTGTATTGAAAGCAAAGGGAACCAGTCCAAAGACCCCCAGACAGTTGTCCGGTTGTGGGTGTATTGAAAGAGGGGGATGACAAAAGACCCTCAGGCGGTTTTAGCAAGTTTTAAATAAAGAGCACTCAGACGATGACCGGTTGAGTGAGGAAAAGGAAGCCGGTTGCGCGAGAACTAGCAGCCGATATCAGAGCTCTCTTTCTCAGAAAATTTTCTCAACAAAAAGTTGCAAAGTGTGAAAATGAGAGGAGGGGGTCTCTACTTATAGAGAACCCCAGAAGGCGAACCGTCACCTTCCCAATTCGAATTCAAAAAAAAAACAAAGAAGAAGAAGAAGAAGAAAAAAGAGAGAGAAGGAGACGAAACATCACCTTCTCAGAGCATGCCACCTGTGAGGGGCAAATATTTAGGGTAAAAATACCCTGTCCACGTGGACCAATCACGTGCTGACACGTGTCATCATCAGGGAGGTTCTGATAGAACCAATCCTCTGGTGACACGTGGCACTCTAACCTATGAAAGGAAAACTGATCTCCTCTCACTATAAATAGAGGAAAATCCTCATTTATTATACATTCATAAATATACACACAAAACCCGAGCAATATTAATTCCAGAATTCTCTCGGAATCCGAGAGAAAAACCTTTACATTCCGCACTTTTATACATCCGGACACGTTCTAACTTGATCGTCGGAGGCGGAACTCCACCCAACTGGAGTTTCCGTGGTTTTGCAGGTACAGACGGTCGATGCGCATTCTTGGAATCGTAACTCTACAGAGGGACTCCAAGCCAAAAACCCCGAAACAGATATGATATCATACATCTAAATATCCTGCAATATCAAAAAGAATTATATATAGGACCATATTTAACATTCATGCCAAAAAATTATTTTATTCTAAAATTTTATCAACCATCTAGGCATCGCATGGGCACAAAACGAGTCACCAATAAATAAAGCCGGATCTCGCAGCTAGGCCACGAGACAATGACACTTGGTATTCTAGTTTTTCGCCAATTGTCGCGCCATGTAAGCAACAAATAGGTATTATTGTGACATATATGATGATAAATAAGCGAATTTTAAATAGATTTTGTAAGATAATAAAATAATGTGTAGAGTTTTATTATCAATACACTTCTATTATTTCATATATACAAAATTAATTATAACTTTTAATAAATATCCTATAATTCGGTTCTATTTAATCATAAAATTCGTATTAAAAAGTTCTTTGAAATAAGGTCTATTTATAATATATTGAGTTTGTTTAAAATTATTAGAGAATCAATAAATAAAAAATAAAAAAAATTAATCAGTAAAAGTAATTTTAGTTTGGTAAAAATACTTTCAATTTAGTAAAAATAATTTAAGTTCAATAAAAATTTCAAGTCAATAATAACAAGATGATATGATATTTTATGTCTAAATATTCTGCATCATCAAAAGAGATTATATGACCGTATTTAATATTCATGCCAAAAGTTTTTCCTTAAATTTTAACAACCATTTAGGTATCGCCTGAACACAAAACTAGTCTATTAAAAATTTGAATCATGCTAAATTATTTTGTCCACATAATTCGAAATTTGAATTTGGTTTTTTCGGATTGATTTCTAATCGGATCGATCAAATTAGTTTTTGACATCTCAAAACTAGTACATATAGAATCTGTTTCATGTAGGGTTATTGCCCATAATTAATGGCCCAATTTTTATGCTGCCGGTTTACTCTAAACTAGTGCACTTAAATTTCTATGATCTGTCAACCTAAGCGCTATTATCACCATTCAAGGGACTTTGAGAGGTCATTCGATTTGTTCTCTTTATGTCTAATAAAATGATGGAGCATTATATGGCTCACCGGAAAACATTATGCATCTATTTTGACGGAACCCAACAAATGGTAGTGTTACCAAACCAAAAACTCAATAAAAGGTACAGAGTAATTGTTTGCAAACTTTGAAATTAAATATACTTATTTGATAAAGTAAAAAGTAGTTGTTGACAAAATTTTCTTTGTTACGACTCGAGTCCCTCAGACCCTAACTCCTTATGGGTTTTATTTGGTTAAATATATTCTAAAACAAAATAAGAGGATATTTAATTAGCTTTCAAAATGAATGAAATTTTAAAGCTTAATACATTATACATACATGTTTTAAAACTCAAAAGGTCAAGAAGTCAAGAATTGAGAAAAGAATGTTTCTACAACTATTATTTCTCATGCTCTACAAATATACAAGTATGCAAGTCTTAGTTAACTTTACTACAAACTTTCCTAATCTGTCCTTGATCGCCAAGAAGGACGTCAAGGGCTTGCAATTTAATCATAACACTTGCAAACTTAGCATTGAATAAGGCAGGATTTTGAGCATACTGTAGAACAAAGCTACTAGTTTGAGAATCACGTGACAAAGCTTGGTCTATTGGTAAGATTCCTCGTCCATTCAAGAGTTGATCTAAGAAAGAGTTGTCGAATTTGCTCGAGCTTAGTGGATTTTGATCAAGAAACGTGAAGTTATCTGAGTTTGTACCTTGGGGGCAAGTACCACTTAGTTGTTCACGAAGGTTCGAGTCCATATTTGGATCAAATTGGCTCGTACCTTCGTAAAGTCTATCTTGGAAGAACGAACAATGTGACTTTCCAATCGTATGACCACCAGCTGTTTCAATGAATTACACATTCATGAGAAATTTCTTGAGCAATTTTACTATAACATTCTTGTAAATTTCGAAAGGTTATAAGTTTATTTATAGCTATCAAATTAATAGAGCTAAGGTAGAAATGAAATATACCTATAAGAAGCAGCATTTCTTCGGGGTTAAAGTTTTTTTCACCAAAGGCTAAGATACTTTCGGTAACTGTTGCGAATGGGCTTGGAAGTTTCACGTCTTGGGTAGATACGAGTCCATCTTTTCGCCCGGTTTGTAATGAATATCCCGGTCCACCACCCTGTTTAGATGATCATAATGGGATAAAATAATGTTATTCAAAAGAATTACTACAAATCTACAACAAACATAAGTTATACCGAATTTTGAGTGTGAACAATGAGGATAGTAATTTACCAGCTTAATAAGCTCTTTGGTTGCAATTGCTATAATGTCGGCACATGAGACAACATCTGGACATTCTTCTTCAGCTACACTCTTCAAAGTATCTATAAACTCGTACCCTCTAACACTCAAATTAGGACCCGCGGTTTTCTCAGATGATGGTCCATCAAGTAAAATTGAAGCGTCACATCCCTTTAATAAATGAATATACAAAAAAGGAATTAGCTCATTACATTAATCAACCCATATCTAGGAACCCAAAAGGAATCTCAAGCACTCACGTTAAATTGTTTGTTACTAATTTTTCATGCCACCTAATAAGTAAAATTACATTTGTTTAATAAACGACATTAAATAAAAGAACTTACATGGACAAAACAATCATGAAATTGCATACGAAGGAGAGCAGGAAGAAGAGTTGCATCCTTGCTAAAAAGTTGTTGAACTTTAGTAGTAATGGTGGCCTCAACGTCGACATTTGGTGTAGGACATAAACCTTGATAGAAGCCTACTCGCAAACCAGAAGGTCTTGGAGGATTGGAAGAATTTGGTGGAGTACTTGAAGGACTTACTGGTGAAGTGGGAGTATTGGTGGGGGAATCAACCACGGGACTAGGAGGCGAAGTTGTAGGAGGATTTGAAGGCGTTGAAGGGACCGGAGTTGTAGGAGAACTCGAAGGACTTATCGAAGGGGAGAAAGAATCGGGAGGAGATTCAACAAGTGAACTAGGACTAGGAGGAGTTGAAGAATCTGTAGGAAAACTAGGGCTACTCATTGGACTAAATGGACTAAAAGGAGTGAACGGAGTGAAAGGACTAAATGGACTAAATGGACTTTCGGCTTCTTGTGAATCAAGTAAAGCACGTGAAAGTTTACGACCCTTTAACGCATTCATTTGACCATCGAACTTACCTCGATGACCTAATCTAGACCGCTTTTCTGGCAAACCGGAGCTGTGACACTCACCAACATGGCTCAATGCCAAGATGAGCCATATGCTAAGTGCCTTAAGTAATGTTGCAAAAGTTGGAAGATTCATTATAGTTAAATTGTAGCTCAAGATTTTGGCTTTGTAAGTTTAGAAAATTCTGGTGGTTTGGTCCATTGAGAAAGCAACACTTATATATGAAAGGCTAGGAAACATGAGCATAATTTGTTTATTCGTGTTACAAAATAATGCGGTAACGTGGAAGCTTCATTTGTTGCTATTATGTAGTGTGACAACTGATGAGTATTCATTAGACTACATTTTGTTATTCGAACACGATCTGACATGAGATTTATATTCTTTAAAACCATATGAAACAGGAAAGCCGCAATGATTTAGTGTACACTAAGTTTAATCTATTTATTACTACGTATTAGAACAATAGAAACTATAGGATATATTATATGTGTAGATCAGCTGCCTTTTTTTTTTTTTTTTTTTTTTTGATCGGTTAGATTAAAAGACTACTAGACCAGATTCCTTATATCATGAGTCAATCCAATCTGAATTAGCGGGTTAGACATTTTAGAATTGGTGGGAAAAGGATAAGTAGATCTCATTCTCCAAAGTGTCCTTAATGGAGACAAAAAATGGATAATATTATACTTCCTCTATTTCAAATTAGATGACACAGTTTGACTTTGTGTACTATTCACATGACTTGCTTTGACTTCGTTTTGTGGTTTCGTAATATAAAAATATAGTCATATAGGGTCTTGTTAGATTAGTCTCAACATCTAATTTTGAAGTATCAAATTTTTATAATTTTTATCAAGGATATTTGCATTATAAAGTATGCATTGGCAAACGTGCTTAGATGAAACGTGTCATCTAATATGAAACAGATGAAGTATATATTTGGTCTAAAAATGTTTTTTTCTTCATATATATAAAAATATTTGAACTTCTAACCTTGACGTTGGAAGGTGTTTGTCTGTCCACTATCCAAAGCTTAATTTGGAGTAAATCAACAATGTCTATACCTAATTAAGATAAGATTTTCAAAATCACTCGCGCTATATATTCCAAACATTTGAGTTGCTACCTAGAACTGAGTACATCATTAGCATGCGATTTTACCTAGTAAAGTTGTTACGTTACTTATACCTTGAGTAGCAGAGTAATTTTTATCCCATTGTAGATATGTAAATAAGTTGCGCAACAAACATGCGTAAACGGAAAATTTTTATTGTAGCAAATTTTTCCAATATGACAATACTTTGTGGTAAGTTAATTGTCTTTTCCAGCCATTTATTAGTCATTGATACTACTAGCTAGCTAGATTACTACTCCAGTACTCCCTATCATATTAATTTGACAAATTAGTTGTTCCTAATCAATCCACAAAATAAAACGCGCTCTAAATTAAAATAATTGCACGTCACTCCCAATACTAATTAGGACAACCTATTTAATTAACTTATATGATTAGCTTAAGCTTCTAGTCAATCTGCCAGTGGAATCAAATGAAGCGTATTTAATTTTACAAAACTTTAATTAGATATCAGACAGCTTAAGAACATAATCTATATTTTAATTTTTTAGAATTTTTAATTTACTTAATTTTATGACGGTGAGATTATGTCCAAAGTCAAATTCATTATGTATTTATAAAATAATTAGGAAAAAAAAAAGTCAAATTCATTTTACTTTGTATATGAACATCCATGTGGTCAACCACTAAAATTAAGGTGGTCTAAGAGTATAAGATGTTCATAATGATGGAGAAAATGCTTGTTCTTTGCAAATAATTATACGTTGCAGAATGTTGATGGAAATTCCTTAAGTTGACTTAAACAATAATCCCACCGCTAAACTTTCATTATTGATTAATGATAATCCATCATACAACGCACGTCATTAGCTTAGGTCTCTTGTAATGGGACAATATAATATATTAGGTGTGTCTATACAACAAGTATGCCTGTCTTCAAATTACACAAAAGTCACCCCTTTAAATTTTTCCGTGATTGTTAGGAATCGAGTTTGTTATACAGAATGTCTCCAATATAGAAGGTTATAATTATGATAATTTATTAGTGTACCTATTCTTGATAACTTAGAAATATCTAAGGCATATGATGTAATTAGCTAATAATAACAGCTTGGATTGAAGGTTGACAAAAGAAATCCCACTTTTGTTCCCATTTGAAGAATTTAATAGATTGTAGAATTGGTACAGAGAATATGATAATTAGGTTGTATCTTAGGTCGTATCAAGTGCATGATACAGTCGTTTATAAAATGGATGCTAAGATTCTAGTAATTAAAAGTATTAGGTGAGACGGGTTCATTATGTATACGGTGAGACACACCTTTCATCCTCAACGCAAGCTCACAACTCCCTCCCTCGCTTCAACATAGTGCATCGCGCATGTTAAAACATGTATCCAAATCTATGCTGCTATTATGCATCAATCTCATGACAAAGTATAGCTTAAAAATTTTCAAGAGTAATAAACTTCGTTTCAATTCAATTCAATTCAATTGGTATACTTGTAAGTTGTAACCCATCAAATACAAAATGTACCTTTCCTCTTAGGTACGAGAAAATCATAATTCCCTTTAAAATAAATGTAGAATAGCAACATAATAAAAATAATGAATGATCATCACAAAATCCAAATTATTTAATTTTGGATTTCAATCAAGAAAGTCTATCCAAAATTTTAGATGACTTAACCGATTATACCCTTGTAACCATGCGACAAGTTGTCCTAATTTGTCCACTTAATCCTGTAAGAACATTAAGTCTAGCCAATTTATCCAATGCCAAAGCAAATTCAGCATTAAAATCAATTCTGTTAGCTGCTAAATCTTCCACAATTTTGCGAGTTGCTCTGTCATAAGCAATGTCTTGATCAATTTGGAGAACTCCGAGATTTTTTAGAATCGAATCGTAGAACATATTGTCTACTTTATTTGGAGAAATTTGATCAAGATCGACGAGGTTGGTCTTCATCCCATTTTCTGGGCAAGTATTTTTCAAAACGTTGAGAAAACTGCTATCGATTTTGGGGTCCGACCTTCCTGCTTTGCCGTTGAAGAAGTACAAACGATCTTGAAAATTAACGCATTGTGCTTTTCCAACAGTATGTGCACCTATATACGTACATTGATAAATGATGGTAATTAGAAGAAACAATGTAGTTTGTGCACGTTACAAAAATATATATAACAAGATTTAATACGAAGTGTATGTTTAGGGCTTATTTTATATGATTTACCCAAAAGGAGGATAAACTGTAAAAGAGTGAATCCCTTGGCACCAAATATTGATATGGCTTGAGATACGGGCACATTTGGTGGAGGTAAATTGTTCAGGGCATCACTAGCTAGAGAGGTTTCACCATCACGTCTCCCTGTTTCAACTTTATCGTATGCAATTTTGCCGTCACTTGCCTGTATAATATTAACAATACGCATATAAATAATAAGTGTACTTAATGTGAGACAGTCTCTCGTGAAAAAAAAAAAAAAAGTATTAAATTTGTAATAGCTCATTGGCTCATTGCATCAAATTTGAAACAAACTAATTTATTAATTAAACAAAAGCATTAATCACGTACCAATGCAACGGTTGCTCTTGTCACTATAACAATAATATCAGCACAAGAAACAATATTAGGGCAAACATTCTCTATCTCTCTCTTGATATCATCAATTAGTTCGTAACCTCTGACTGATCTGTTTGGCCCTGCAGTCTTCTCAGTATTTTCTCCGTCGAGTAGAAGTGATGCATCACATCCCTATTCAAAACATGATTAATATCGAAAAATTATTAGCTGTTTAGTTACTAAATATAGAAGTATCTAACTAATAGACCATCAAGCAATAGATGATAGGAGAAATTAAACCTTGTTTAATAAAAAGTTTGAATACACAATAAAGTATAACTTATTAAAATTTATTTTAGCTTTAAAATGAACATAGATAGCCCTTATTGTAACTTATCTGAAGTTTTCTTTCCTAAGGCGGCGAACTAGAGATGGTCTAAGTCAATTTTATTTTCGTATTATACACCTTTTTCTAAACAATCGGTTGCTCACAACATTGAAAATAATTCAAACAAGTACATTTTAAACATTAATAAGGACACAAATCCAGATGAATACTGAAATAATACAGTAATTATACTAAATAATCAAGAAGGAGCATTGGAGTATACCCCAACAAAGCAATCATGGAAGAGCATACGAAGCATGGCAGCTGCTACGGTCTTATCAAACTGGAAAGCCGATTCCACTTTCGCACGGATAAACTCCTCAACATCAATATTACCACACTTGCCATTGTAAAACTTGACGACCAACTGACCGTAACACTGGCCGGCCAGGGTCATGACAATGAGCCCGAGGGCTAACGAGGCCCCCGACGAATTGTTTCTCCTCATGACTACTTATCTATCTCCTTCACCTCCTTCCTAAAACGGTCTAGTTAATAGTATATGAATGGAAAAGAATTAGGGAATGGAAAACTTTTATGGAACATTTATCAAAGTTATGGTTTTAATGTAATGTTATATGGTAGATTAAGTCCATGCATAATAATGCTACGTGCAACCGACTAACAAGATGACTATGTCCCATGTCTTTCTTTGTAAAGCATGAATTTGATACATTGATTGTATTTTAAGAATAGTTCAATCATTTTATATTGCCAAATTGCCATTTTTATATGGAGGCCTTGAAAAAAGAAGACTGATTGAGAACATTATTTTGAAACACTATGAAATTTTCAATTTTTAAGGGTCTAATTGAGGATCTTAGTGGCCCTACACCATTTAGTAAACTCGTCAGCCACCTCTTTGATTCTTGTTTCTACTCCCTCTGACCCTTGTTTGTTATTAGTTGTTTCACTTTGACTTTGAACATGTTCTCAAAACCCGACATAATCATATAAAATCATTTACTCTATAAATTATTTTTGGATTTGTCTCTACATAATTTTATACAAACTACGAAGTAAAGTTTGTGGGTTTAAGATAGTTAAAAGTTTTAATGATTCAGGTTATGCATTGCAAACTTGCATGTCAATGTATAGGTTTATAGATTTATACTCTGCATCCCATTTTGTTTGCTCATTAAAGTATAGTTACTTTTTGATTTATCCAGACTTCCAGACTTCTCTAAATAAATGAAACCATGTCCACTGTATAATTAACAAGGAATAGGAAGCTCTAGCATAGTTGGCATGATTTTATGAGTTACTCGTAGCGAACCCTAATAAGCTGCTGAGGCAGTATTACAACCCAAATTTGTCATTCTGCGGCTGCATCGACGTAGAGAAGTTGTACAGATGCATCTATACCCACCACTAAGATGATGCTATCAATTACGTCAATTGACTGCTAAGTATGCTAATATTACTGAAGACCATTAACACTACAAGAATGTCATGTATTGATACAGTATTTGCAGATAAATAGCTGATTACATGTGAGCTGTGAATTAATTGGAGGAGCCACAAGCTTGGCAGTAAAACAGCTATATTAGCCAACTTAACTGGTTAAGTTTAAACTGTACAAGGAAAAAAAAAATGGACTTCTCCCAATTGAAACGTGACTCATTACTCCAGAAGCAAAAAATCACAGATTTCAGCTTTCTGCGGCAATCTCTTTCTAGCCAAATTTTTGCTCTAAATCTTTACAATGATTTTACCTACTCTGCTTCAACGACCAGCAACAAACAATGAAGTGGACGATAACTGCTTTCCTTCAGCCTGCATCTTTCTGAGTTTAGCCTTGTCTATTCGTGCTCTCCTTACAGCTTCTTGAATATGGCGATCATGATCTTTCAACATCTGATCCATGTTGCTTGAAGGGACTATTAGAGGTCCTGAGTAGTGAATTTTGCTGCCCTTTGACCCATAGCCAAGCTAAATAATAGTGTAACAATGCAGAAGTTTAGGGGCACACGAATGAAAAAGAAAAGAAGCTGATCCTAGTAATTGATTTAGCAACTACTAATTGAGAAACATAGACAGAACAACAAGGACAGGCACAACCAATTGATATAAATTGAGGATGCCTACTCAAGTTTACTTAAACTAAGGGTAAATGGTTTTAGGATGTCGCAAAACGCAATTGATCAAGCTGTCTAATACTTCCTCCATTCCATATTAGTCCACACACATTATGACTTTACACTATTCACAAACTCTACCTTAACTAGTTTTTGTAATTTATAGATAAGAAATTGCATAGTCACGTGCAAACTTCTTAGATTCCTCTCAATGTGTATTTTCAAAACATAATTTTTACTTCGTAAAATTTTTACTTACTGATAATTAGAGATATTTATGATTGAATTTATGCATTGGCAAACGTGATAAAATAAATGAATCATTTAATTTGGAACGGATGATATATTAAGATTAGTACGACTAAAAGAACAGATGAAAAAGAAAGAACTTACAAGCACAGGATCATTATTGCTACTTCTTCCATCTTCGTTTTGATGAGAACTTGCAAGACCCTGCCCTTGATCTGCTTGATCTCGCCTCTTCATAGACTCTGACGATTCTTTAAATGATCCGGGGAACCTCGCTACTAGTTTTGGAGCACCAGATCGCAGAGAACTAGACTTTTCTCTCTTGTCCTCAGATAAGAAGCTCCTCCTCGCTGTCATTGGACCAGACAATGTTGATGTATCAGCCCCATTAAACACTTTGGGAGCATCATCCAAGTTCTTCCCAGCCTTCACCCATGCTGCAGGGTTAACAAGTGGTCCTGAATGTGATGCTCTCTTATGATGGTGCCCATGCCTGCTTACACCAGAATCTTCTGCTGCTTGAGATACTCTAGGGGGCTCAATTGGAAAGCCAGAAGCAACCTCTTCCTGGTGAGGATTAAACTTCTCACTTCGACTCTTTGAATTAGATTGAGCCTGCCTCTTCTGAAAACAGCATATACATGAGTACAGATACAAAGTCCAAGAAATGGAGGGTAGAGAAAGTACAATAAATAGATACTCAAGTAAATGTTGATTTTAGAGTTTTTTGGGACAAAAAACTCAATCAGCAAAGGAGGAACATGGTGAAGGGAACAGAATACATTTAACAACTGTCAGCAAAGGGACATGACACGCAAATTACTCAGAAAAAATTTCTAATGCAGGTCAGCTATTTTGGCACATCAAAATATAGGGCAACTACTTCCTACCCTATTCAGTATCACTTCGGGTTTCCACTTTCCAGTTTTCGATTTAAAGTTCAAGTTTGATTCTTGTTCTCAAGAAATACAGCTGAAACTCACAACGATAGCATGAATCACAACCAAATCACATTGCGAAAAATATCACTCTTAGGTATATTGAGTTGCATCCAATAGCATGAATCTATCCTTAAAGGGCTTACTTGGATTGAAGTGCAAAGTATCAAGGATGATTATAAAATTAAAAACACAGGAATGAAAGTGGATACAGGTGGAGGTAGAATAGATGAGGTATTGATTGTGTAAGGAGGGAAAAATAAGGGGAATTTCACCCTGCTTTTGATGGTTAGACAATAGTGGGGCACTCTATTACCCCAAAATTGCCCATTCCCTCCCTTCTTATAATATCAGTACCAGAGTATGCAAAAGCGCCTAGGCAATTGGGGTAGAGCGCTTTTTCAGATCTAGGCGAGACGCATTTAAAGCACACCTGAGGCACAAAAGAATCACAGGAAAGGCACACCAGTCAATGTTCTTGAATTATAATGTATACTCTGTCCGACTTCAATGAGGCATAACTGAAGCACACCCAAGGCACAACAGGACCCATATTGCCTTATACATTGATCACTACATCATTTCATCTACCACCACCTATACTCATCTTCATTTATTTTATTGTGTCCAAATCTTCATACACCCTCCAACCCCCCCCCCCCTTCTCCCTTCTTTCTTTCTCTTTGAGAAAAGGCAAGTTCTACAAAGACATGTATAATGAGATTTAGATAAGACTTAATTGTGATGAGGTAACATGATGTTATTATTTTTATCTATAATTTCCTTTTTCATTTTTTTTTTTTTTACAAATTGGTTTTTACTCTCCAGCTATGTGCACTCGAGCTTACTATGCAAAATGCAAGATAAGTGTCAAAAGATTATTTATCTAATAGATTTTTATACACTACACACCTCAGCTCACTCGAAACATAAATACATAATAAAGTAAAAGCCCAATGGCCAGTACAAATCTCCGATACTCCACTACTCCAGGCCAATATATCTGACCCAACAGCATGGTGCGCCTAATCAATGCTGACTTCAAGGCCACGCATTAACAATCAATAATTGTAAGCAGGACTTTTAAAGATCAGAGCCATTTTAGGCTTGACATTTTGCAGAGTTTAATCACCCCTAATGTACCTCCGACCCATGGCCAGTCCAAATCGAGATGTTCAGGCCAAGAACATCTAACCCAGTGATGTGGATCAAGAGGGAAATTCTTTTGAAGAGCCAATCATATTGGTTTTAAGGCCAATAGGGTTTGAGCTTGGAGTAAAGAATCAAGAATGGTTAACATGCGCAGCCATTGAAGAAGAAGTCAAGGTCCAGTTGGGTTCCGACGACGGCAGCGGCGGCGACGCGCCGATCTGGGTGCCACGCGCCGGCTCCCTAGCTCCGGCCTGAGTCCAGCTACACGGCGGTGGGGCGCGTGTCGATGATGGCGGCGCGTGAGGTGGTGGTTCGGCGGCAGTACGAAAAGAAAGATTTTCCTAACTTAGTTTTTTCTAGAGTTTTTGCTTGCAAGTTTTTACCTTTCACTTGAAAGGGTTTTTCTTGGTTTAAGCAATTAGGAATCTTCTTAATTTCTGTTATTTTAGTTTAAAATAATTTCTAAGTCAATTAGGAATTGTTTTAAGAAGTTTTAGTTTAATTAGAACTAGTCTTATTACTAGTTTCCTAGTTCCATTAGAATTGGTTTTCCTATTCTATCTAGGATACTTGGGGATCAAGGCTAGGGTTTTTTTTCCTAGTTCGAATAGACTTAGGAATAGTTAGTTTAGTCTATAAATAAGGGATTTTTCGTGGCTTTGTATACACAACCAAAACCAGAAAATTCAATACAAGTTTATTGTTTGTTTTGCTTAATTGCTTACAAATTCTTTTGCTAGTTTTCAATTCAAGGAGTTGTTTTGATAATTAGAACGTTCAATTCTTAGTTCTAGGAGTAGTCTAAGTTTTGTTCATCAAAGTACTTAGTTCCAGGAGTGGTCTAGGTAATTTGAGAGGCGTTGAATTCGTTCCAGGAGTGGTCGTTTTCAAAGTCATATCCGGTTCGTTATTCTTAAGTTGTTCGATTTTCTTAGGAAATTCGAAGGGCTTGTGTTACTTGTGTGATTTTAGATTCTTTATTAAGTTAAGGGGTTTAAATCCACATCAAATTGGTATCAGAGCTTGTGTGATACCACATCAAATTGGTATCAGAGCTTGTGTGATACCACATCAAATTGGTATCAGATTTCAGGGGTTTTTGATCGTTCA